TAAGGTGCCACCAGACTTCTTGTTGTTTTTGTAGATACAGACTAACACGGTTACCCCCTGATATTTGAAAAGTGTGTTACCATTCAGGATCTCTGAACCTGACATAAAGCTCTTGGCTTTAGATTGCACCATGTGTAGCTTGCTGTAGGTCATCTGTTAGTGTCTTTAACATGCTCTGCAAAATGTGCAGTTTTCTTCTGGGAAACTTGTGCATGTCCGCACAACTGTTTTTCCAGGGTTTCACACATGATGCAGAATTCCAGTGTCTTATAGCACATTTTGCTAAAGCACTCTGCAAAGTGTCTCTAAACAAACTCCACAAAATCCCCACCCCTCAATCACGCAAACTGCATTTCCTTGGCTTGACAGCAGCTCCGGGTATGTAGTTCTGGGACTGGCTGCTTTCTTGCCTTTGTAGCTAACCAATTTTTGCTTAAAGCCTATGGACCAGTCTGTATGTCTGCTGCTCTAGTAGCACAAAGAGGATTTACATCCCTGGGTGTAGATGAATCCTTGCATCAGCCCCTCCTGTGTTTTAGGGCAGCTAGAGTGGTGTCCTGCTGTGTGAGGGACAGGTATCATCTAGCAGTGCATAAACCCTGAGGTCCCTGGAGGAACTAGCACTGGGCCTGATCTGAACTCTACCCCCCACCCCCACAATTTTAGCATTGGCTAGATGGGGGCAGACAAGTGGAGTCCCACACCACCTATGTCCAACTCACCAGGTGTGGGAGTGCTGTCATGGAGTACCTGGATTGCTCGGTGTCTAGTCATGTGTATTCTGAAAGTTGCTAAGGAGGTTGGAAGAATTTGGTGCACTGGGGAGCTGCAGATCCAAGGATTAGTTCTGTCCCCATTGCTTATGGTCAGTAATACCTGGCCTGCTAAATTGGCGCGGCTGCAATCAACATTGATTTAGTGGGTCTGATAAAGACGTGCCAGTTCGATGGGAGTTCACTCTCCTGTTGACTTCAGAGGGGTGGACGCTAAGTTGGCGGGAGAGCGTCTCCCGTCGACATAGCACAGTGTAGACACTGCATTAGATCCATGTAAGCTACGCCGCTCTGGAGGGGGATTTTTTCACACCCCTGACCGATGTAACTTACATTGACTTAAGTGGTAGTGTAGACCAGGCCTCAGAAACCTGACTACTACTCACACACTGGCCGCCTCCGGTATATTAGTTTTCACACAGTGACAGGCACTGTACAACGTGCCAAGAAAATAGAGTCCTTGCTTGGAGGGGCGACAAGCTTGAGTTAGGATCAAGTAGAACAAAGACAACAGAATAAGCCCAGAGTTGGGTGCTGTCTTATCCATGGAGAAGAAGCAGCACGTTTGCTGAACACTAATCATCAGGAGGTTGTCCCGGGTGTAAGGAGCAGCACGGAAGAGGGCACAAAGCCAGGAGTGGGCGATGAAGACAGGGGACGCAATCAGAAGAGAAGACTGGGCTGAGGGTAAGAGGCAAGAGCTGGAGTAGGAGGGGACGGAAGGAGAGACGTCAGCAAGGGAGAAGTTGTGCAGGCCTTGAAAATGTGGAAACACTTTGGAGAGGTGATGCAAGCCCCATATCACTACAGACAAACTTCCCTTAAAAAAACAGCAAGTGGATGGCCCACTGTTATTTCTGCTCCCCATTGAAAACTCCTGGGTATTGGCCAACACTGTGCATGTCAGTTAACGTTACAGTAAGAGCGGCAAAATACTGGCCCTAGTCATAGCTGAACTGTGCATACCAAGCTTCTAATATCGTTAACAACGGACTTCTCCACAAGTGTCTGCTTCAGTCCATACGTGTGAAAATGGACAAAATCTGAGCAGTGTGGAATTGTGCTAAGCAGGAAAGTACTTCTTTGGAGTAGCTGCCACATTAGGTAGAGATTATCTCAGGCAAAAGCCTTTGAATGATCTTACTCTATTATACTGTGTTACAAGCTAATAGCTGGCCTTATGGGACTGCTGCTCTGAGCCAAGGAGCAAGATAATTAATATTGTAAATGAAACATAAATTTCAGCTTTTGGCCTTTTCCACTGAAACTTATTAACAAAGTACACTCAGAGCAACATAATCACCTCAAATGCGGCCTGCGCTTTGCTTTGTGAGTTTCGATCCTTCTGCTGAGAAAAGCAACACGATTTTATTTAAAAAATATTTTTTGTCTCAGACAAAAATGGAACAAACGAGAGTTTCTTTGTAAGAAACTTAATTGTCATCATCACACTGGGCTCTAGGAAAAAGAAATGCCTTCCACTACAAAATGTTTACATTGGCTGCCCAGGTTTCCCCTGATTTCTCTGGTGGGAATGAATAATTAAGAGGTGAACTGGGCGGTGAAAAAAGGTCTGGGTGCGTTTAAGGCTAATGTCACAGCATTCCAAGGACAAAGCTCATGGTACATAGAAAGGGTTTTCTATCAGGTAAATGAATTAAATAGCTAAGCAAGATGCCGAGAAGAAGAGTCAAACAAAAGCAGAGAATTCCCAGTACGAATGTAGTATGCACTTACGACAGTTATTGCATGAAATGGCTGCAGAACACACATACGTGAGACACAGGGGCAATGCACGTAAGGTGTTAATAGTCTAAGCTGATGCCAAGGAAGAAAAAGAGCAGACAGGGTCAGCCACTGTTTCCTGAGCTAAATGTTCATTTTCTTATGGTGGTCAGAGCTGGGGGTGTTTTACAATGTGCAAAACATGCACTTATAATTAAAATGAAATTCACACTGACAGAGACAAGGGGATGGCAAATATTGGCCGTTCACACAACATCTATAGAACGTTTGGGGGGACATTTTTAAACTAAAGGCTTTAAAAAAAGCCCACAGAAATAAAGTTGTTTGGGAATTCATATGCAGCACACGGAGCCGCTTCTTGGTGGAAGCGAGCACTGATTGTACTTTAAAATAAGCAGCCACCCCACTTTGACTTTTAATTTCCTGTCTTTTTGTTTGAATATGGGGATGTTGCCATTGTTCGTAAAGAGTAGAAGCTAAAAAAATGTGGTAAATACAAGAAAAGAGAACAGTGGGATGAATTTACCTGTCTACTATGGCTGCTTGGAGCTACGAGTTCCTTAGGCATGCAGATAGGCACCTGGAAGGGGTTTACAAAAGTGTATAAGTGATTTAGGAGCCTAACTCCCCTTGACTTTCAAGGGCAGTTTGACACCTAACATGCTAAGGCACTTTATCAATCTCATCAGTTGCCTAGTTATATTATTAGGTGCCTAAATACCTTTATAAATCTGGCCCAAATTTACTTTTAAAATGGAACTTAGATTCCTAAATCACCTAGGTGCTTTTGATAAATTTTACTCAGTCAAATGCATCCCAGCTACTGCTGGATGGTCTTTATGTGGTAATGTGTCTTAGCATTCCTGCTTCCAAAACAAGAGGCACCTTATAACTTTCACTCCAGTGATTTATATTAATTGACACTTTAGAGAAAATTGATCTCTACAAATAGAAAGGTTCAGATACTCAGTGTATATTGACTTCAGAGGACCTGTGCTCATTTACCTTATATGACACTCTGGTCTCTCATCTTTAAATTTAGGAGTACATAGCAAGGATAAGAAATCAGCTTTTCTTTTTCTTTGCTAGTGATGAATGTCTTTTAATCACCTGCACCAAACTTAGACTCAACAAGTGTATTGTCTTTCCTGAAGTGCGGTGCAGTAACATCCATTATTAAGCACAGCTCAACTTTGAAATAAACTAGTAGGAAAAACTATGCAAAGATTTATTTTGTGTGTGTGTGGATTATTTTTATCCCTTCAATCGAATGGGTAGTTAGGAAGATCCTTTTCATTTCTGCTATTCCCTTAAGCTTTGGCTGGTAAGTGCAGGTTGAACATATGTCTTTATGTTACGGAGCACCTATCCATCACCCAGGCCTTTTGTCAATTCACCCAATGTGACAATTACAGCATTTCAGAGATGAGACTTTCTAATCCTATTACTCATTCATCAACCTGCGGATGATAGGAGAAGCCAGATCGAATAGTGCCAAAAGAGCAGTGAGGAGCCTTCTCCAGTGCTGTGAAACTAGGCTTAGCTCAGGCACAATAGGTGTGTAATTTAAGGTTTTGTTGAGCTGAAATCCAATCACATACTTGACTGGTAGATCACAGAAAGACACAGGCAAAGAGAATGAGATAATTCTACCTCACACAAACACTTGAATCCGGCTTTGACTTAATAACAAATGTTTGATCAACCTTACACTGTTTCATTCCATTTTTTTTATTGGCACCTAGTGATGGGATGGGGACTGTACTACTTTACCTACTTGGGTACTGGCCAGTAATATAAAAAGACCAGGTTGATAATGGAGGAACCTGATCTGACTGAAACATAGGAAAAAGTGCAGATGATCAGTGTATGAAAGAAATGATGCAAATATGGCTTCCTGGGATTGGACTGAGTATGGTTTTATCAGCACTCGGTACCACAGCATGCTATTGTGGTAGCATGGTTAGAGGGGACCTAACAGAAACACGAGAAGAGAAAATAAAAGGAGAGCAGTGAGTGGGGCAAGGTGGGAAAGAATCTTTTTAACTCTGCTGTGAACTTTTTCTCCACCTCTCTCATTTAACTGGATTCCTCCTATAATCTATGTTAATTGGAGAAAACGGTGCAGAAGGTGCAACATTTGCATACATACATGTGAGAAAATCTGGTACAAGGGTGTTGCACCTTAAAGTTGCTACCCAGAAGAGGTAGGCAGGTGTGTGTGTGTGTGTGTGTGTGTGTGTGTGTGAGACACAGAGTAATCCCTATACTATGAATCAGTTCTGTGGTGAGTTAGAAAGATAGATTTTAATCCAGGAGTAGTTTTTCAGATCCACCATTAAAAAGTGGGGCAACACTGGCTGCACCATCCATTGCCTTTACATATTACAAAAATGATACCACAAAGCCTTTTTGCTAAATGCATATTAAATAACACAGTCAGCAACAACATCCACCTACATTCATGTTTATCACCTTCATCACCACAGTGGCACTGCACCGTAATCCAGCTTCTGTGATCTACCTAACATTAATTTCATAGATCAACACCAAACTTTTCAAAAATTTCGTCTGATTTTGAGTGCCCAACTTTAGTCACCGATCTAATTTTCAGACTGGCTGAGCACCCCGCCGTGGGATTTTAGATGCTTGGGATCTTTGAAAATCCGATTCAAGGTATCTCAAGTTGGGCAGCTAAAAGTTCCGACCTCCAGCGTTAATTGAAACTTTAAACAAACGGTGTAAATATTTTGGTTTTTTTTAAAAAGACAAATGTTTAATGTTGATTCAAATTTGGCAAAAGTAGCAAGTGCTGTAGGGGTGTCATTGGAATGAAAGAGCAACAAAATGGCCCCTAGAATCAATCAACACAATGGAAGTTTGTAACATATGAAAAGCATACAAAGGCATATTTAGTGCCCATTACAGCATCAGTAACAATCATACTATATTTGTGTGAAAACAGGGGAGCCAAATCCTACCCTGAGGAATGTGATGACCTGGTAAAAACAAGAACCTCAGAGAAATGAAAGGGGGCAGAAGGCCACAATGGGAGCAAAGAGCTAAAATTCAGTTCAAGACTAGGAGTTAGTTGAAAGAGACCAAAGTACAGGCAATGTGCTGCCTCCAGCCTAAAATAAACAGGATACAATGTTCTGAATTCTAGAACAAGGTAATCCAGAAATGAAATGAATATTTTTTTAAAAACAATGAGTTGTTTAAAAAAAAAAACCCAATAATTTGTTTGATGTTCAAACACTGTGTGTGAGAGAGAGATTTTCAGCAGCTCAAAGGAGTAAAATGGAACTGAAATATCTTCCAAATTGGGGAGGAAGGAAAGACAACTGAATATAATCTGAGAAGCTCAAATGGGAGTCAAATATGGTTCCAAAACTAGAGATTTCATAGACACAGATATTTCATTCAAATACAATACAGAGTCTGACATTTGACCAGACAATTGGCTTGGAGTTCTAACTAGAATAGCCTCAGTTTTAAAAATATTTAGGGGAATAAAATTTGAATTTCCTAAGGCTTTGGTAGTGGCGATCAGTGAACATTGAGACAAACAATATGAAGTTGACTACTGTCTGACATATCAGATTTAGGAAGAGAACAGCAATTTTTGCTAGATTTAGCCACGGACGTCAGCTCACAAAAGAAATGTTCTTCCCCTGATGTTTGCAAGCTTTTTATAGCTAAACTCTCTTTTACTCCCATGGAGGCAGGTTGTGTTTGTGCCACATATTGCGAGTGACAAAAAGCCACACAAAATACAATAGCTCTGTGAATACTCTGTAACAGAGTTACTGCCCTGCCTGGGTGAGTGAACATTCCTCAACATACACACAGATAACCCCACAGGGTGTGGCTCCTCCCTTGCTCAGGAAGTAATTCTGAGCCATTCAGAGGAGAATCTGTTCTTCCTGACAGAGGGAAACTTTTTAACTTTTTGGGGACAGAGGGAAACTTTGGGTTACCACAACACCAACCACAAGACGGAAGCCGTCTCTCTATCTGCTCCTAGTAAGTATACCTTTGGTTCTTTTTGCTTGCTGAACTTGTATCAACTTGTGCTAGCCCACCAATAACCAGACTGCAAGAGCAAATGACAGTTATTTGCTGCTGTTGCTATTGCTAGTATCAAATGTATTCATTAGGAGCGCATTCTGATGTATCTGCACTATGCGTTGAATCAGGGGAGGAGAAGGAGGAAGTGGCCTTTAGCACACTCCTTATCAGTACATCCTCCTAATGATCTATAGCCGTTTGGATGCAAGTGCATTGTTAATTAATCTCTTGAGCAAGCTGTATATATTTATAGAAAGACACGCAAACAGCTACCTGTATTATTAATACTAATGGTATTTTCATGATATTATATATGTATATAATTTTATCAATTTGATAATCCAAGTGAAGTAATCAGAGGGCAAGCTATGACAAAAATCCCCAGAATAGCAGCGGGGGGAGTAAAATCCTGTCCCTAAACATACGAGTATGGTCTCTAAAGATAATTGGCCTTATTATCCATTCAGACTGGAATAACTCCATTGACTTCAACCGAATAAGTCTCAATACACAGCGGTGTACTGGAGAAGAGAATCAGGTCCAATAACTAGCCTGTTGGGTGAACTGACACACAAGCTTCTGTACAAAGGGATTCAAAATGGATTTGAGTAACATTAAAAAAAAATGTATGGGCCAGATCTTGCTTCTGTGTTCCAGCCAAATAGGAGGCAATTAGCAATGTCCAGTCTGTATTGGCAGATCCAGCAGCCTCATTGAATCCTGCCATGTCGGAAGGTGAAGAACGAACCCCCCCCCCCCCACGCAGAACAGGTCTCTGTCATGCTCAGAGCTTGCGGATCCCCTGCATGGACTCCTTAAAGTCTGTCTCCACCCCTCTCCCAGCAGTTCCCAGCTCAGCTGAAGGTAAGGACCTGCACGTGCACAGACCTGGGAGCACAAATGGCTCCAAAGAAATCTAAGAACAACATCCTTGTAATTTGCAAAACGTTCCTGTCCTTTGGCAGCATCGCTGTTAGGTGTTTGAGTCTATACCAGCGGACAGCTGGCAGCAGCAAAGCTTAACTAGATTGAGTGTAAACATGTCTCATTCCAAGGAGTTATTAGGGGCACTGCAGAGGGTTCCTAAAGCCTTGGTGAGCTCTGTATAGCCACCCTCGCTATGGTTCACGTTAAAAGTTTTGATTATCTGTCACGTTTCTGCTCCCCTACTCCCGAGCTCTATGAGCTACAAGGCTCTGTAGAAGTCATTTACCTTCCAGTGGTACCACTAGCCCTTTGTGAACAATTAAGCTAAGGTTGAAGGTCGTAATAGATCAATTTTGCTGACCATATTAAATTTTATTTTTACTGAAAGGAACTTTTTGTCTCTTTGATCAGGAGGAAAATTAAGCTGTGAACTGGAATTCCATCAGGCTGTCTACTGTGAAGCCCTGGGGCTTTAGCAAAAGAGCAGCAGTGGTCAGAAACTGCACTCAACAGTAAATTTATTTCTTTTTTATTAAAAAGAATAATTTATGACCTGTACAGTACATCTTAAAGAGGGGATTTAACACAATACACTGTATTCTCCCATTGCTCTTAAAGGACCTATACCTGCAGTATACGGGGAAGGTGCTGATCTCCTTCAATACTATTGGAGTCATGGCATTGAAGGGCATTCACTCCTCAGGATCAGGCCCTAAGCAATTGGCTGTCACAGCTTTGCTTCAATTTTGCTACTTAAAGACTGAGGAGTTCTTTTCTGGTCTGTAAAGAGCATGTTTTCCATGAAAAGTTAACTAAATGTTTAGCATGGCTAACTATAAACGGAACAGGGCACAGCACAAGGCCTTTGGAAAGGGGATTTTTTTTCTGGTTTTGAATCAAATGTTTTGCTCTGAGTACAAAAGAAAAGGTGAGATTTTCAAAAACACACAACATTGGCCACACTCTGCTTCCATCAAAGCCAATGAGAGTTTTGCAGTTGACCTCTGTAGAAGCAGAGTTAGGTCAACACTTTTGAAAATCCTACCCAAAATGCCTGTTTTAGTGTGATTGTAATATTTTAAATGATAGATATTTATTTTAAAGGGGAAATAATTTTAAACTAAAATAAACCACAAATGAAATCATTTAGTCCTCCCCAGTTTCCAGAGAGGGGATAGCTTTGTTGTCTAAACATCAGGTTGGAAATGCCAAGACACGCTGTAAACATAATTGCTGGGCTGACTCAGCCCTTGATATTTCTGGGGTTGAATTCCATACTTTGTGCTAGTGGGGAAGGAGTAGTCTTTTGGCTCTTAAAAAGTAAGTTCTTGTCTTCTTTGCATGGACATTAAAAATGTGGATTACTAATTGCATTACTAATCTGTGCACAAAATTACTGTCACGCGCACAGAACTGGTTATACATGTGCAGTTGACCAGGTACTTTGTGCATATAATTGCATGTGCAAATGGCGTTCCATTTTGTGCATAGTTGTATGTGTATGTTTTCAGATTAGGCTGTGAAGATCCTATAGCCCCTTTTTTTCCTGTAAGATTAAAGGCTCATCCAATCGGCCAACATTTCTCCTCCCCATCTTGTTGTGCAGCGTATTATGTCCCAGTCATCTCGATGGCTCCTGCTTCCACATTAAAGAGTTTCAGCGGAGGATAAAGAGATTCTATTTTATACTATATAATTTGGAAAACACCCTGTGGGATAATGTTAATATTTATTATCTTGACAATAGACTATAAGATATAAACCACAGTTACGAAAGACTGATAATTAAGGATACTTTTTCAAGATATTACTAATCACCGTACTAAGAAAGTAAAACAGCTTTTCAGGAACCAACTCCTTGGTATTCAAATATGATATCCCACCTTTATGGGGACCTATCATTTCATAAACACATGTATGAAAGTTAATGTAAGCTATGTGTGGACATCAATGAGAAAACAGAACATATTTCCTTATATGTATTAGGTTTCACTAGCTAGCAGTGGATGCCAAGAGATTTCTGTTGCTACCACAAAGTTTAGCTGGAGATTATGAGTCAGTAAATGTGTATGTTAATGCTGCTAATTATTATTTAATGTTCAGTCTTCCTATCTGTGCACTTGATAACATGTCTGCTCAGGTATACATACAACTTGTTGCTTAATTACTTTCTTTCTTCACAAATCTAATCTTTTATTAGCTGCTCACAGCCATTTTGGTATAGATTTGATTCCAAAAGGGGGATAAATATACTTTCAATAAGATGGATATGAAAGACAGGTAAGAACCAATCTTGCTCCTTTTAAAGTCAATGGGAGCTTTGCCATTGACTTCATTGAGAGAAGAACTGGGGCTTATTTACTTTTCTTATGAGGAAGATATGGACAAATCATCTTTTTCAAGGTAAGTGCAAGAAAAACAACATGTAGTATTTTCAGGAAGTATATTAACACTGAGCAAAACAAAACTTCTAGATCCTCCACCCACACACAATCAGTGTGTCACAATTAATTGGATTAGTTATTTTAATAAACACAGCGTAACCTATTGGCTCTCTTCTTTCTATTGTTCTTATTGTCTGACTTTTTTGCTTGGTGATAATGGCTCTCAAAGCGAAGCGTTCCAGGGACCTGGTTTTGTTAAATACTTCAGTAATGGAATAGTAATGTTATTGATTATTGAAATACAGCATTGTATCCACTGTATCACAGCTTCACTGTAGCAGAAATTCTGTCTAGAGCTGCCATCCTTAGCAGGTAACATTTATTTTTGCCAAAACACCATTGCAACCACGGTAAAAACTTCAGAAAGGAAAAGGAATGGAAGCTTACAGTTCAAACACTTCTTGCTTCTTAGGAAGCAAGTTGATAATGCTTGTAAAATCACCTGCCCTTCCGACTAATTCTTGCTTTCTTCCCAGTACACACTAATCAGGGATATTTCTAAAGATTTTGGGTATTAGTCTCATTAGGGCATACTGGGGGTAAGTGAGACGATATTAGCATCTTCCCATGTTCCTAGTCAGTTTGAAAGGAAATAGGACTATAAAGGTATTTGTCATGTCACAGAGTCTTCTCCAAGCCTAAACCTACTGCCAGTATGCGTGGGAAACTCCCATGTACAGAAAGAAACCCGAGGAATGTATGCGTACAAGAAGAGACTTGGGAAATGTACTTGGAGAACGTGCTTAGGGTTTGCTTTGAGGAATGTTCACTGTGACTGTAGAGTTCAAGTCATAACAATCTATTCAGGCAGCTGAGCTCTGATGCCTTCTCAGAATTACAATGTGCTGTACATCCACTGCATGAGATTGCAGAGTGAGGGGGAAGACTTCACTTCAAACTCCACTCATGTAAGCTGTCTCTAGCTGGCAGCTGAGATACCGAAAAGCAAATCGCCATCACAGGCTCTTCCTACTGCCTATGTGCAGGGGCTATAAAAGATTGCCTGCAACAATCACTATTCAATCCTTATTAAACATATGGGTTGGAAAGAACCATGATGATTTGTTCATAGCCATTTCCATTTTCTACTCTGTGTATTTTATACATTTATCCATGTCCATCTTTTCTTTTGTAGCCTGGGCTGTCTCAAGGACAAAAACCCTTTGCTTTTCCTCAATCTTCTGTCTCCCAATGCTAAACTGAATCTCCTCCTTCTTGGCTAATGAATAGACTTGATTCTTCAAGGGGAGGGGGAGATGTTGTGAAATGCCTGGCTTTTAGTTATTAAACACCTTCAGTTGTATATATGACAGATTTGCCACTTCTTTTCTACTGCACAAAATCTTGAAGATAATTTAAACTAGATTCTGAGATTTTCATGCTCAGCACTAATGTAGCACTGGCTTCATAATGAAGCTTGACATGGTGGGTTTTAGCGCAGCACATTACTATTCTTATTTTTAAATATGAAGAGCCAGAGCCTAATCTGATGAAAAGCACCATAACTCTGTTGAAGTAGATGAAGCTATATTTATTCACACCAGCGGAACATCTGGTGCTGTTGACATTATGCCTGCTGCAGTACAGATACCAGCAATGGTGCTGTTTCAGTCCCGTTGAGGATAGGAGGAGCATTTATGGGGGAAGAAGAAAAATCGCGTGTAAGCAAGATACGTCTATCACCCGTTGGGAAGGCGGTGGGGGTGAGGGAGATGTGTGGGATAAAAGGGGCTGGAAATTAAAGTTGAAGTCTTCATAAAAAAGAAAGATGAAGTTAACAACAACCCTAACTTGATTGCTTTGCTTCACGTGTCTTGGATAACATGAGTGGCCAAGAAAAACTTTTCCAATGTCCCATTGATAGGGACCTCCCCGCAGTAATCCATACAGTGGTGACTTCCAGGTAAGACTAAGTTACTCAGGGGTGCACTTGAAATCCATATGGAAGCGACAGCTAGTGCAGTAAGAGAGGAGCTGCTTCTTAAGCCGGACTAGTTGATAGGAACACATTACACCAGTTTTTCAGCAGCTGTACTGGCTTTCTGTCTGCATTTAGGTGCAATTCAAAATGTTGACTTATCTCTGTGGCTTTGTTTCTGGTTACCTACAGGACACCTCTGTTCCCATAAGCCAGCATAGAAGTTGAAAGCTGTAGTCATCTGCAGTGCTACAGCTAACAAACAGACTCTAGATTTAAGTTTCAGAGTACTGGTGGCATGATGTTCTCAGTAGGAGGGCTTTAGACTCTGGAAATTGCTTCCCCACTAGTCCAAAAAGTATGAGTTTTCTGGCTTCACAAAACAGCTTTGACTTCGCTGTGCTACTGGGGGGAAATGCAAGGGATTGTTCTTTTTCTGAGAAGAGTCAGATTTGTGGGTGTTTTTGTTAAATTATATGCATGCACCCTAAGCTCTAGGAAAAAGGGTCTACCATCTATAAATAAGTAACATTTATTCTCATCATTTTCTTCCATAGAGCTTCCCCCCCCCCCCAGGAGTACACATTTTTAAAACACAAAGGACCCAATCTGGCTCCTGTTAAAATCAAGCGCAAACTTCCCATTTACTTGAATGAGATCCGATTTGGGCTCAACATGAAAACCAAAAAATGTGTGCACTAACTCTGACCCTCTTTTGTCAGGCCCTGCAGTGACACACAAAAGAAAGTTGACCAGCTGTGTTGTGGGTAAAGAAGGATGGCTGTGCGCTCGGAAATCCATTGCTCCAGCTGCATCAGGCTGTTCTTGTGAACCAGGGATTTTGTGCACTTCATCCTTATGCATGCTACAGCGGGAGAGTGTATTACAAATGTGCATTGAAATAGAAGACAGAGTTCAGAGTGAGGACACCATAGTACAAAGCCCTTTGACATGGGAGAACTAAAATTGCATGAGCCAAGTGTGAGCTATATTCATTTAATAAAATTCTTACCACACTTATCTTTGGCGTGTAATGGTCACTTTTCTCATGAATAAAAAAGGTGCTGGTCTCTTAGAAGATGAAGATTTAGGTCATGGGAATAAAACATGGGACCCTAATTAACAATTTAGTTCAAGCCCTGCCTACATGCTGTGACAAAGTTCTGTCCTTGACTCCGCGGGTCCTGCGTTTCCTGACGGATTTTTGCTAGCCTCAGAGGCTCACTGTGACCCTCCACATAGCTCTTCTCTCTCTAGAGGCAAGGGTCACAGTCTACTGAGCCATTTTCATCATAAGCCAGCAAGGGAGGTGAGGAGAAACAATCCTCCCTCACACAGTCTCTGTTGTCTCCCAGTATCAGTGATGAATCAGGGAGGGGAGTGGGGAGCCCAGGCCCACCCTCTACTCTGGGCTCCAGCCCAGGGACCCTGAACTTAGCAGCTATGAAAGCTGACTTTTTGGAAAAAGGGCATGTACAATTCCCTGGGCTACTTCCCCACAGCAGCCCCCACTCAATATCTTCTTCACAATTACCTCAGGGCCTCCTTCCTTGCACCTGATATAGCTTCGTACTACTTCATTCCTCCAACAGCATAGCTCCTGGCACCCACACCGCACTGACTAACTGAGAGGCTTTTAACTAGTTCCAGCCAGTCCTTGATTGGCTTCAGGTGTCCCACTCAATCTAGCTGTCTCTCCTGCCTTCTAGAAGGATCTTAATTGGCCCCAGGTGTCTTGATTAACCTGGAGCAACTGCCATTTGGTTACCCTGGTACCAGGGATTTGTTTAGCCTGGGGCTAACATACCTGTTCCTCACTACTTTACTGTAGCCATCTGGCCTTGCCCCATCACAATGCACAGTTCTGAAAACAAAACCCTAAACCAGAAAATAGGGGTGACATCTACACAAGTGCCACAGCAGCCCAACTGCAGCTACACTACTGTAGTGCTGTGATGTAGACACTTGCTATAAAGATTGAAAGGGTAAATCCATCCCTCTAAATCAGTGTTTCCCAAATGTGGGATGCCGCTTGTGTAGGGAAAGCGGCCGGGCCGGTTTGTTTACCTGCCCCGTCCGCAGGTTCGGCCAATCACGGCTCCCACTGGCCACAGTATGTCGCTCAGCCCACACTCCTTGCAGCAGCTCCCATTGGCCTGGAGCAGTGAACCGCGGCCAGTGGGAGCTGCGATCGGCTGAACCTGTGGACGGGGCAGGTAAACAAACCAGCCCGGCCTGCCAGGGGCTTTCCCTACACAAGCGGCGTCCCAAGTTTGGGAAACACTGCTCTAAATGATGGGAGAATTCTTCTGTTGACCTAGTGGGCTTTATACTAGGGATTAGGTTGGCTTAATTATGTCTCAAGGGTGTGGATTTTTCACACTCTACAGAAGTAGCTAAGTCAACCTAAGATTTAGGTGTAGACCATCACCGTGCCTAGGTTTGCTCCTACCTCCATTGAAGAGTTTCCATATACTTCAGCAGGAACAAGTCTCATGTCCTGAAAATGTGTTTGAAACATAGTTATAAACTAGCAGAGTTGTGACACCATTGGTGGGCAACTCAAAATGTTTACATAATTCTAGATACTGTGTAGAGGCCTAGATATTATGGTGATGGCAATGCAATTTTATAGGGTTCAGAGAGACAAACTGTGAATAGACCTCAAAACCTCCTGACTTCTAATTCAGTGACCTGTTCACCTTGTGTCAAGGCTGAATTCCCACTCTGTCATTTCGAGTAGAGAAGGTGGTGGCCTGCAAGGATTCTAAAAATTAATATTTGCCACTCCAGGCTTGTATTAAACTCCCAAGGTTACAGCTTTTCTCTGACCTTGGCTTGGTAAACGCTGCCACCACCCAAATGCAAAAAAACCCCTTTGAACCCAGGAAGGAACACTTGGGAATTCCTCCCTGTGGGGTACCCTCAAGCCCTTTCACTCCCCTCCCCCCCCGCCCCGGGGAAGAGCTGAGAAGAAAATAAAGGAAATTAGCTGTTGCCACCAGCTAATCAAACAGCATAGGATACAACAATCCAAATCCTGTTCTTAAAAAAGGAAAATTTTATGATAAACAAAAAGAAAATAAATACATCTGGAACTTAGGCTTTTGCTAGATTTTAAAAGAGCAATTCCAAAAATTAAGCACCCAAAATAGCTTTCTTGGGTGTTCAGCTTAAAGGTTCAAGCAAACAAAAGCATCTGGGGTTAGCACAGAGGAGATCCACAAGCCAAAATAAAGAAATAAACCTGATTCTGTTTATCTAAACATTCCCTGTCCCAGTGATTCCTGCTAGGTATGGAAGATCATGTTTCATACCTAGTTCAAACCTTACACAGCATTCCTGCTTATAGCATTGCTGCTCTGTGTCCCTGCAGCCCAGAGAGAACAGACAAAGGGCAAGTTTCTTTCCCAATTTTTAAAAGTTCTAGCCTTCTCATTGGCTCTTTTGGTCAGGTGCCCACTTTTTTTTCCTTTACCTGGGAGACTTTTTAACCCTTTACGGGTAAACTAGGTAGAGAACAGCTACCAAGAGGGATTCTACAGCTAACTGGCTGGCTGGCTGTCCATCAAAGGGAGCTACCCCACGCCTTTATTGTCTACACTGCATTGTGAACCCAGGTCTGTGGGACCTGTGCTTATGGACTCGATGGTTCCGAGACCATACTTGATCATCCACACTGTACTGTAAATCTGGGTTTACATTTGCTGGATCTGGTCTCACAACCATGTTAGTGCATCCATACTGTACTACACAAACCTGCTGGAGTCATTTCCTCTTCTATGCCTCTGTTTTCCCCATCTGTAAAATGGAGCTAGTGATACTGACCTATTTTGTAAAACAGTTTGAGAGCTACAGATTAAAAGCGCTATATATGATTTATCTGCATAATAAAAAGAATGCCTATAAGGGTTTCAGTCCTTTGCTGGATCAGAGACAGAGTCCTCAGCATTTTCTAGGATCAAGTCTTAGATTATGTAGGGAGTAGTTTATAGTATAGGCTAATAGTAATAAAGCCCAGTCCTCACTGGACAAGCAAATCACGGCAGAAGTCCCAAACCTGTTTCATTAAGGTGGATTAGCTTGTAGGATCGGGGCCTGAGCTAGCAACCATCCTATTCTAAAATGGTTGCCAAACATGTTTTTGCATATGGTGCTTCTACCATGGACCACTGCACGGAAAGAGTTCATTTGCTTCCTATGCTCTTGCTAAAGCCAACACTGATAGCTTGGAAAACATTGTTAGATAAATGCCAGTTTCTTCCATAGTTTGTGAAATCAATACAAACCGATTCAAAGAATCACAAACAGTAATGTGAAAATAAAATGATCTGTGTTATGGTTTTTAAGTAAATGATGATAAACTAATAAATGCCATTAGCTGCTGCCATTACTTTGTTGAATTTAGCTGATGTTACTATGTTGACGTTAAAAGCTATCAGCTTAACTATATAAATCCATTTGACATGTCTTTATTCAGATAAAACTTTAATACTGCAAGTGTAGCAAATTAGATGCAAATGCTCTTTTTATTTTAAGTATATTTAAAGCTGCCTTTTCAATGCAAATTTTACAGGAAATCTCAACAAGCTAGGACAGACATCTTAGCTGTCAGCATGCAGCACTTTCATTTTGGTCTCAGGCTTGGGAGCTGCTTTTTGTCCCTGCAGACTGAGATAATTAAAACTACAGAGAGATGATTTTAAATATACATGATACACAGTTACTTAAATCACGGGATAATGCATAAATGCAACCATTAACATTTTCGATAGCACAACACTGACCAGACAATGTGGCAAAGAAGATTTTATTGAATCGTTTTACTCCTGTGTAAACAATCCTATGGTTTTTATAAATTTCACCTGAATTAGTACAGCAGGCTAAAAATATCAATTCAAAACATGGATTGCGGATGTTTTCATTAAAAAGACTCTGATACCATTAACTATTTTTTAAAATTATGCTTCAACTTCTTTGTTTTCAAGTAGTCTATAGCCTCTTTGGAATACATATCTATTTCAGCTTTGATTTGCTGAACCCCCTGAATGAGTTTATCCAAACAATGTGACTTTACCCAGATCTTTTTAAAATCCCACATCTCTTGTGGCTGATAAAGCTGACTTTAGCTAAGAAGAGTTGGATCAGGGTGATTTAAATTTCACAGTGAAAATGATAAGGGCTTTACTAGAAATAATAAGCACATTCGAATACTGTCATGGGCAAACAGTTGAACGTGCAGTGAGAAATTTGGCAAGACTAGTCTTTTTCAGTGTTGATTTAATGAAGTAATGGATAGTAAAATGGAAAAAAAAAGACGACACTTGCACTAAGTAGTAAACTTATGTTAATACCAGACCAGTAATTTAAAAAAGCATTATTCATTAAAGAGCAGAATTAATACTCTAATAACTTTTAAAATGTCACTAACCCTCCCCCCTCCACTAGCTACTGTAGTCAGAAGAGTCTGTTCTGTCAGTTCTCTACAAACTGACTGAGTGATGCTCTATTATTGTCATGAACTACATGTCAGTTTGTTGAGCCTCAGGATAACTTGTGTTTCATGGAAAGAATAAGGAAAACGCACATCTACTTAAAGCTTCAGGGCAAACAATAATGGTCCGCAGTTTAAAATAATTTTGAACAGTTTGCTTGCCCATTTAAATGGCCTGCATCTTTGCCTTTCTCATTCAGATTTCATTGGGAAGGTCCACAGAGCCAATTCCAAATGAAGGCTTGCCCTGAGCTGTTGCATCTCTGAACTCAAAGGGTTTTATTCAATGAATCCAGATGTGCATTTCAGTTACACAACCAAAAAGGCTACTGAATAGGGGGAGGGGAAGGAAAGGCTAACTTGAGTGACATTCTTTTTATCATCTTATAGACACTTCTTAGTAGTGTGCATATCTCAAGGAATTGGTCTCCATAATTACAGAAGCTTGATCAGTGGAATGAATGTACATGGAACATCTGAAGGAGAAAACATTATGTTGCCAAAGAACTAAAGTTAAGAATCCCTCTGTGCAATTTAACAGTTTTAATTCCTCCATTTTAATGCCTTGCAGGCCATTGTGTCTTTCTACTTTAGCTCCTTCAAGAAGCCATCTCAATGCTGCCAAGTGGATTAGCTCTCCAAGGGAGCTGCTGGCTCCCTCCTGCTTATAGACAGAATCCATCACCTCCTTCCATGCGCATACCCTCCACTGGTCTGCAACCCAGGATACCTACTCCACCCCCAAAGTTGGGCTTCCTTACTGTCATCACCAAATGCTACAATGGCTAATGCCATCACTTGACCATCTCTGGTAAGCTAGGTTTTTACATGTGTGCTGTATTTTTTTAAATAAAACATTTCCTGCTATCAGAGCAGTGGAAATAGCAGTCATTAACAGACAGGGCTGGATGACTATTCCAACCCAACCTTTCTGGTACAGTTCCAGTCAGTAATTATATGGATGTTCTAAATCCACAAATGCATGCAGTGTTGTAGCCCTGATGGTCCCAGGATATTAGAGAGACAAGGTGGGGGAGGTAATATCTTTTATCGGACCAACTTCTGTTGGCGACAGAGACAAGCTTCTGAGCTTATAAAGAGCTCATCTTCGGGTTCTGAAGAGTGCTGGGTAAGCTCAAAAGCTTGTCGCTCTCACCTACAGAAGTTGGTTCTATAAATTCATGAATACAGGTTATAAGAAAACCTGTTTTGAAGAGATTTGTTTAGCTCCATAATTAATGACCGGCGAATTATAATGGACTACTTTAGGCGAATGAAATTATTCTCAGAACAAAATACTACTAAAAATCTCCCACCCACAATCACACACATATTTCCTACATTTGCCTCATTACAGGACAGCTATGTCCTTTAAGACACAAAGATTAATGGGGCATTTTATGAGACTAATACATTTTACACTTTAACACTGGAGTTAGCATCTATAATTGTACAATTATACGTTCATTTAGATTTTTTTT